GAACAGCATCCTCAGATGGCGCAGGACAGTGACACCTGGGTGTGTTCCCCAAAACCATTTTGTCCTCCTAAGCCTCTGAGCCTGTGATGGGAGGGGCGGCCTCAAAGATCTTTGAAATGCCTTTGGGGCCTTTTTCTCATTTTCTTGACTATTAGCACCTGGTCCCCTTTTATCCACCTAAACTTTCTAGCAAGTGGTTTTTCAGCAGCCCTTCCCTTCCCTACCACGCAGCCAGGCGGCGCATTTCCCAAATTTTTGTACTCTGCTTCCACTTTAATTATAAGTTTCAACTTTAGGTCATTTCTTTGCTCCTGTATCTGATCACAGGCTGGTAGAAACAGCCATGCCACTTCCACCTCCTGAACACCTTGCTGCTTAGAAATTTCTTCTGTCAGATACCTTGGGTCATCACTCCCAAGTTTAGCCTTCCGCAAAGTGCTAGGGCATCGACGCAACGCAGCCAGGTTCTTTGCTACAGCATAAGAACGGTGACCTCTGCTCAAGTTCCCAATACGTCTCTCATTTCCATCTGAGAGCTCATCAGCCTGGCCTTCACCGTCACAACCACTTTAACCAGTCTCTAAGGAGTTCCGAGCTTTCCATCTTCCTGTCTTCTTCTGAGCCCTCCATACTCTTCCAACCTCTGCCCATTACCTAATTCCAAAGCCACTGCCACATTTTCACGTGTGCAGAGATCACATGGCAAGACAGGAAGCAAGAAGCGGGGAGGTACCCAGCCTGTTTGCAACAACCAGCGGCCAGAGAACTCTCATAGCAACTGTTAATGACAGAGTGAGAGCTCACTCATTACTGGGAGGATGGCACCAAGCCATGCAGGAGGGAGCCACCCCCATGACCCAAACACCTTCCATTAGACCCCACTGCCAATATTGGGATCAAATTTCAACATGAGGTTTGGAGGATCAAATATCCAAACTGTAGCTGTTACCATGGCGACAGACTTTATAACAGGAAAAAGCAAAAAGGAACTGCACACATTTGATCCTTCTATATCCTTTGATGTGCCTCGTTGAATTTCAGTTTTTTAAAGAAATTGGAAAGCCATGGTTTGGGGGTAACCTCAGCTAGAGAGCCAGTTTTATCTTGTGCATGTTGTCAACCACTGGGCAGTTATTTATAGCTAGACAGTCTGTGCTCTCTGGCTCATAGACACACCGTCTTTCACGTCTGGCCTTCAGTAGGCCGGCCTGAGGTCGCATCGCCTGTCTGCACAGGGACCCAGAATTCCTAATGAGATGTTCTTTAATATTTTTAAAGTGCTACAGATTTGAAAGTTGTGAAATCTAATATTAATATACATAGAGAAAACAGTAACATGAAAGAACTATGATAAAATCAATGATTTTTATTGTAGGTCAAAAAAAGGGGTGAGGGATGAATAAAATATTAGGAGAACAAACGAGGGACCAAAGCCAAGAGCAACAGAAAACACTGTAATAATTCCTGAACGTTAGGTTGGAAGAGAAGAATAGCAGGTTTGATTTTGAATTGTCTACGATAGAACACTAATTTTGAGCAGAGATAAGAATAGGACTTGAATTATAAATCAACTGATCTGTAAATAGAGTGTCATTTAATGTACTTGGGTTCTAGATGTCAATACGTATTAACTTTTTAAATATGTTTTAAGTTTTGCATTTCATTCTTAGAATGTATTTTAATGCATTTTAAAATGCATTCTACAATAGTATTCATTGAACTCAAATATTGCATACTGTAAAACTAGAACGTTTAATTTTGTAATTAGACTTCGGAAATAGAAAATTCACTTAAGAAATGTAGTTATCACTAGAATTGCTAACAGGCAATTTTGTTTCTTGTCTGTGGGTTTTGCGCTGAGGCAGCTTGGATTCTACAATGCTGTCGCCATTCCCTGCTATACCACCCTGACCCAGATCCTGCCCCCCACGGAGCCTCTCCTCAAAGCTTGCAGGTATGTATGTA